AGTCGAGAATGACCATACCCCAAGCGAAGAGGAGCAGAGACTTGAATGAATAACCAGGTCGAACTTAGGGTTCGACCGACTAATGGTACAACTACTTATACAAGTACCGACTGCGCACGGACCATCGTGTCTATGTGGTCGTGTTAGTGAAGAAAGAAACGTAGTGGTACGATATCAGGCACGAAGTGCGCACGGACCCCATTATGTAAGCTACATAATGTTCAACCTGCGGGTGAGCGCTAAGACAGGCGCCAGTATGGGCGCTAGTAGTACAAGGAATAGAACGGAAAGACAAATGTTTCATTACCCCCCTACCAGAGTCGAAGTCCCATTCGACTACTTACTGCTCACCATCTCCATACAACTCCCAATCTACGCCGTCGTCCTCCTCTTCGTCGAACCACTCCTTGCGCGCGTTCCTCCCTACGTTCATCCATTCCTCGCCAGAGAGGTGCTTCTGATTCGGCCAGGAGCTATCCCACATCCATTGAGTGGTGTCCGGTGTCCAGTCGGGATCGACTTTGCGAAAGACGACGGGTGTATCGGGGCGGGGGCGCGAAGATCCCGCGACGGGACTGGCGGGGGGTTCGGGGTTAGCGCTACGCGGTGGAGGGATGGGTATCGCTTTCGTCTGCCTTTCTTTCTCCTTCCTCTCCTTCGCCTCATTGATAATTCCTTCGAGGAACACGTTGTCGACGACCACCCCCACGCGTCGCGCAGGTTCTTCAGGTGGTGCGGATACGTGTCGCTTCATCGGCCTGGTTCCGCACTCTCGCTCCAGGTGTCCAGGGGCTTCTTTTCTGCATCCTGCGCATCGTACGTCCGGACAGTCCCGTGCCCAGTGTCGAGACGATCCGCATCGCCTGCAGCTTCCCTTCGGGGTCCAACCAGGGTTGGGTTGCCAGTCAGCCGGGATGGTAGTGCTCCGCGGCGTTGCTTGGAGGAAAGGGGATGGGATTGGGGGGCGCCTGAAGGCAGACGTCGGTAGGGGTGCGGGTAGGGGTAAGTACGCATTGGGGATGGCGCGCGGGATGAATTTGTTGTGTCGTGCCCGGATGCTGCATGGTAAGAGCGGTTGAAAGCGATGGGCAACTTTCAGATTGTCGAGCCGGATGAGCTCGGTGAGGACGCGGTCGTCCTGTTGGCGTAGGAGCCGCTTGTGGTGGTCGATGGCCTCGTCGGCTGCCTTGACAGCCTCGTCGTATTCGCGGCGGGCGGAGAGATACGCTTCTAGTGCAGCGCGGTCGGTGGCATTGGTTGCCTCGGGGTTGTGGGCTTTGAGCTTGTTGAAAATGTCGGTGGGATTAGTGAGAAGGAGCGTCAGCAAGGTGCTGTCACCGACATGGGTGTGCTTAGGGGTGTAGATTGAGAGCCTTTTCCCGCCTTCAGTCGAGGGGGCGTTGAACTGGTCGAGGAACGAGAGGGTGGAAGACATGTTGGTGCGAGTGGGGATGTAGCGACTGGGTAGAGCTGCTATCGTTTCAGCTCAAGTCCTTCCTGTTCTTATACTCTGCCAACACTTCGTCCGCCGTCCCAGTCAGGTTCGCTTCGGGCTCCCATGAGTCATCGGCTGTTGAGTAACCCTTCCACCTGACACGATATTCGCGGCGTCGCATCCTCTTGTTCTCTCGGTGTCCGATGATGGCTTCGACTTCGTAGTTATCTTCGCCTTCAATAAGGTCAGGAGGTGGCCTCGTGTAGTTTGGACCATGGATCTCCGTCTCCGAGTAGGGAGATAGAAGCCATTCGTGGAAAACGGGGTGGACTCGCCAGGTGCTAGGCAAGTCTAGCTTGTACGCGACTGTTCCAATCTTATCTAGGACTTTGAACGGCCCTTCTCGCCTCGGGGCTAGTTTCCTGGACGGGTACAGCAGCTTCAAGTTCCGGGAGTCTAGCCATACCAGCTGACCTTTACGGAAGGAACCCCCCTTCCTTTTTATTCTCTTGGCCAGGACATTCTGGGCCATCTCCATTGCCGCATGTGCTTCTTCGCGGATGTTTTGCAAGTCCTTGAGGCGATAAGCTGCTTGGGGCGTGTTTGATCCGGGGTGCGCGGTGGGTATTCCACGAGGTTCGTATCCCATCATGAGTTTGAACGGGGACACCTTCGTCGTGGAGTGCTCGCGAGAGTTGTGAGCAAATTGCGCGGTGTGAAGATGGTCAGCCCACATATCCGGATCATTGGCAGTGAAGCAGCGGAGGTAGATCTCCAGCTCTTGGTTCACTCGTTCTGTCTCACCGTCGGTTTGCGGATGGAATGCCGTACTCATGGCTGATTGAACTCCAGTCATTTTGCACAGTTCTTGGAAGACTTTGGACGCAAATTGTGGTCCTCAGTCACTGATGATCTTGTCTGGGAGTCCAAACCACTTGTAGACCTCTCGGTTCATTGCATCTGCCGTCCCAAGAGCATCAATTGTTTTGTTGCATGGGATGAAAATTACCCCCTTCGTAAGGTCGTGGTCCACTACGACCAGAATTGAATCGAAGCCGTTGGACGGTGGCAAGTCGGTGATGTAATCGCACGAGAATGTGCTGAAGGGTTTGGCATTTGCACGGGGTCGAATGGGGGTGATGGGCGGACGGGCAGGATGCGTGTTAACCTTCATTTGCTGGCAGATGCCACAGCCGTTAACATAGCGGGCAACAAACTGGGCCATGCTCGGCCACCAGTAGTCACGGCGCAAACCGAGGAGGGTTTTCTGAACACCGGGGTGTCCTGCGGAGGGGAGGTCGTGATAGTGGGAGACAAGACGTTTGCGAAGAGACTCATCTGGGGGTACATAGACCCGATCCTGGTATAGGAGGAGGTCGTCATCGATGGACCAGTCTGTTCCAGTGCGTGGTGTTCCTCCAGTGCGC